ATCCCGAGCATTACGTTCGCCAAAGTATTGGTGACCTTCTCTGCAGAATCGGAAGCGATTCTCAGCACCTGATTGTCTTCCCCGCAGTCGCCGGCTCTCTGACCAACAAGAAAGACGAATATCTCTTCGACTCAATTCCCGGCAAAGGCTTTGATTGCGGCGATAGTTTCGATGAGGACTTCGATGTGGACGCTGTGATCAACGAACAGGAAGAAGAGTCGGCTCTTATGCAGAATTGTTACGCATCTCTTGTCGAGACACTGAGTCAACAAAATCCGCAATTGATTTCGCAAACGAAGACATTTGTTCACGAATTGCGTCGAATCACTGTTTTGTGGGACGAGGTTTGGATCGGAACTCTTATCAACCATTTGGGAGAACTCAAGAAACAGATCACTTCTTTCGAGACAGAAATTGACAAAATTAAAGGCAATCATCTGTTGACTGATGAGGAGAAGGACCTCATTATCAGAGAGAAACACAACATAGTGTTCCGACGAGTGATCTATTTCTTGGAATTGACTCAATTGATTACCAGCGAAGCCCCAGAAACGCCTCACGAGTCGTGGTTTCAGAGATGTTTCAGTAAATCAATTGCCGACACTATTAAAGTTCTTCAGTCGCCACCAGATCCGTCGCAACCGCAACAGAATTTAGTCGCTTATCAACAGTTACTGCAAACAATCCAAAAGAAAGCTATTATGGCATCCAATGGACGCTCACAACTGGTTATGGATAATATCAGTCCCGTTTTGGCCGCACTTGAAAACACCGTAATTCCCATGCCGGGCCTTAATGTCCACTCGCGGACCATCGGTTCTAACATAACGATACAACGCGTTTGCAGAACAGTTACCACTTTACACACGAAGACTAAACCTAAGAAAATTGTATTCTTTGGGTCCGACGGAAGGGCTCACACTTATCTCTTCAAAGGACACGAAGACTTGCATTTAGACGAACGGATTATGCAATTCTTGGCGATTGTCAACAAAATGATTGTTAAATACCATAACAACAAACAGGAAAGAGTTCACTATAGGGCCCGACACTACTCTGTCACTCCGTTGGGCAATAAGTCTGGACTGATTCAATGGGTCGATGGCGGACAAGCCCTCTACGGCCTCTACAAGAAGTGGATTTTGAATCGAGATAACTCTCCGCCCAAAACTGGTCAAAACCAAAATACGACTATTACTGGACTCAATGACAACGCTTACAAACCGTCAGATATTTTCAACAAAAAGTTGGCCGCGAAAGGAGTGATTGGAACGAATCGAAGCGAATGGCCGTCAAAAGTGTTGGTTCAGGTGTTGGAAGAGTTGGTCAATGAAACGCCTGTCGATCTCATCTCGAAAGAGTTGTGGTGCGCGTCAGTCAACCCATACGACTACTGGCGCTTAAATCAGACCTTTACCTATTCTAATGCCGTTATGTCTATGATTGGGTATATCATCGGTTTGGGTGACAGACATCTCGACAATATTCTGCTTGACTTAAGCACCGGTGAAGTCATTCATATTGATTACAACATATGCTTTGAAAAGGGAAAGACTCTTCGCGTGCCGGAGAAGGTGTCGTGTCGTTTGACCCAAAATATGGTCAACGCTTTCGGAATCACTGGAATTGAGGGAACGTTCCGAATGTCTTCGGAACACATTCTTCGAGTGCTTCGTAAGGGAAAGGAAACTCTTCTCACACTATTGGAGGCCTTTGTTTACGACCCGCTCATCGACTGGACACCAGATCACGAGGAAGGCTATACGGGTGCCATCTATGGCGGCGCTCGCATCTCGGAGTTGGCCAAAGAGGGGAAACTCATTTCCAAACACCAAATGGAAAAAGAGAATTCAGAGGCTATTCATAAACTCAACGCTCGGATCAAACAAATTGAAAGACAGAATAATTGGCCCAAAATTTCTGCCGATATGTCTGCGAATAGAGCTGAGGGCCAAATGAACGCATTGGAAGACATCACTCGCAACGACTCGGCTCTCGTAAGCGCTGCCAAATTTGTCAACCATTTGAATGGATCGGAGAACGAGAAATCAAAGCATTCTTCGAGCGCTAAGAACTCATCGTCTGTTAAACGCAATACTTATGCGACAAATGTGTGGAAAAAAGTCAAAATGAAGGTTTGAATTGAATTGTGTGTGAAATAAATGTACAATTTATTGATTGCGTGTAATTTGTGACCAAACAGTTGGACGGCAGAGATCCGGATCAGAACAAGAAGTTTAGTGTCATAGAGCAGGTCAACAATGTCTTGAAGGAAGCCATGGACGTTGAGAACTTGGCGCTCATGTACGAAGGCTGGACCAGGTTTGTCACCATCACTGCTATATGATTGATGTGATTGAATGACTGATTGATTGTAATGTATTTGACTGTTTAGTTGGGTGTGAAATGACACTAAATGAGAACAACATTGGGTTCAAAGCTGCTAATCTACAAAATCAGTAATAATCTGGTTTTCAACACAAAAAACGATTAAACGACCAAAACATAAACAACTGGTGCCCGACCTCTGGGTTTCCATCCAAACGACTCGCCAACAGAATCGGAAAAACACTGTTTATTTGGTCTAAATATCGATTCCAATAATAATAATATTACAATTCAAATAAATATATAAAATCCATAAAACAAATGGTTAGACAAACACAGAGTGAGAGAGTGAATCAATAATGACTACTCGATTGGATCGCTCTCTCCTTTATTATCAGATTTAAATTGTTATTTCATTTTTCACTTAACGCTTGTGTTCTTCGAGACGTAATCTTACTTTTCAAACGTTTATTTGATTATTAATTATTCCTTTAATTTTGTTTTTATTTTTTGCCAAAAATTATTAAGCATTTGGTTTAAAATTTTAAAAACATGATTTTGTATTTAATTTAATAAATTTATGCTCATATTTGTCTGCAGAAGGGATGGATGGATGTGTCGTTTCTCATAATGACATCCATTTAGCGTTTATAATAAGAATATCTTCACTGAATTCAATGTAACCAATGGTTAGACAAAAGACATAAATAAAGATTTAATTGCATTAATCTTTTGCTCATTTAATTGCTTTCGTAATTACTTTTTGTTTGTATCTAACGATACGAAAATGGTTTACGTTTTGGAATCGATTCAATGTATGAAATAATCATTGATTTATCAAAAAGATTATAGTATTAATGATTTATTGATAGAAATCATTGAAACAAACGTTTAACAACTGTTGGAATTGCAGACCAAGTATTATATCAATTCATATCTCGGTATAGAGAGAAACAAATGCAATAATTCGTGACATTCAGTGCCTTTTGATCAACAATTACAGACCAGAAGAATCACAGCCAGGCATAGGGTGTGAGTGACCCTAACTTAATGATACTGTACTACTGAATGTAGTATTAATAATAAATTGTTCAAATATTTAATGATATGATTGAACAAAATTGTTTTCTTTTTATTTCCTCGTCTAAACTCTGTATTTGAGATAAAATACCATTTTTAGTATCAAATAATTATTTTCTTTCAAAGTTAGTACATTTTATATACAATTATCCGTACAGTATGTTTGCAATTGTTATCTAATATTACTATACAAAGTATATAAAGGAAGTGTTAAGTGCTCAACCATTTGGCAAAAGTATTAAACAGATATTTGTTTGAATTCGGCTATAATTTCCAAAGAAAACAATCTAATTAAAGGCCTTTTTCTGCTCTTCTTATCATTTAAATAGTTTTATGATTTTGTCATTTCCTGTGAATTCAAATAAATGAATGCTTAACTAAATTGAGATAATTTATAGCGAAAGCAATTAACTTAATGACTAATCTTCTCTTCAAACACAGTATAAGTATATTCTGTTTAAGTCTACGATCCCTTTGACTCGGCTATGAATTTATATCAAGCAATTTTAGAAATATCTTTTCAATTACCAAATGTTACGCTAAATTTTATCCAAAATTTTACCACAAATCCAAAGCATTGAATTTTAATATTCAATTTCTATTTGTTTTTACTAATGGAAAAATTTCAATTTATAAGTCCATTGGTAAGGAATCAAACAAATGTTGCCAAAATTAAATGTATTTCCTGTCAAAACATCGATTAAATTGAAATATAATGAGTATTTTTGCTAAAACCCTAATGGAAAATGAGTTGTTTTTATGAGCAGTGAATTGTATTTTTAATGTCAATGAATATTGACTTACATTTCCTAAACAGTTGTAAAGAAGTGCACAAAACTTTTTTTTGGGAAACTTTTATGACTAGAATTTTTTTTTAGAATTTTAATGAAGTAATTATTGTTTAAAAATAATTAATTAAATACAAAACAAATGGCATTAAATGAGAAGAATTGTTTGTTTTAAAGCCAGTAATTGAGTGCTCGTCACAGATTTGGAAACACCACTGATTGGGCCCCTCTTTTCTGAGCCTATAATTTAAGATCTAATCTATAATAACCGCCAATTTATTGTTATTTTAGTCGTTTATTTTCATTGCAAAATAGGAATAACTATATTTTTTTGTTACACAAAACTATAATTTGTTTGCTTATAATAATTGTATCAAAATTATAGTTCTTTGTGAGAATATATGCCAAATGTATGAATAATTGCTCAAAATATGCATAAAATATTGATTATTTTAAGAGATTGGCGTAATATTGCAATGAAATGATTGCTAATATTAATGTGAGGGCCAATACTGAACGCTGTATTCAAAAATCAATAAAATGGTAAACCAATGGATCACTTCAGCCATCGTTTGAATTATACAAATCAATTCATTTGCGATACTAATTAAAACCCCACTTTCATAGATTATAACTCGTTTATTTATGTGGATAATTATTTATATAAGATTTAATTAAAATTAAAACTTGTTTCTTTATAAAACTTTCTTTAAAATGTAATTATTATAATACTAATTAAAACCCCACTTTCATAGATTATAACTCGTTTATTTATGTGGATAATTATTTATATAAGATTTAATTAAAATTAAAACTTGTTTCTTTATAAAACTTTCTTTAAAATGTAATTATTATATAAATTATTTAGCATTAATTTTCACATTAATATATAATTATCGGTCATATTCTCTATAGATTCTGGTTTTTATTGTTTTTAGAAATGGATTCTAAATGGAGACCAAAAAAGAGACACAAAATTTAATTACACCAAAAAAATATATATTAAAATTCCGAACACATCTATTGGAACCTCATTTTCGTTGATTCAAAACGGTTTCCCTGAGAGCTCTCAATGTTTTTCATATAGAAAAATACACACAAACTCTTACTTTTGAATTAATTATATTTTTTCGTTATAATAAATAAATTTTAAAGACTTCTCTCTAAATGATTGCTCTGTGCTTGAGATCAGTAACTCATTTATGAATTTGTAAATTTAATAACTACTTCACAACTTATGTCTGGTCTATAGAATATATAATAAATTCTGTGCAAAAATTGTTTTGTTTTGTAAGTCATCCCAAAAATTAATTCATAGAATATTCAATTTTCTCAATAATTGCTTTCATTTTGAATGAAAAATATATTTTAATTGCTAAACCATTAATGAAATCCAGAACTCTATAGACAAACATTTTTGTTTTTACAAAAGTTTGTCATTTTATTATATATGATATCAAACACTCTTATCTAAAAGCGAGTCTACTTTTAACACTTTTAACATTAAAAAGTCTTTAGACATTAAGAAAAAATATTCATTGTATGGAAAAACCTTTATTTAAATCGTAAAACTCTTTGTTGTAAAACATTATTTTTCTTATTTTTAGAAACTTTTTTTCATTTGTTTTTTACAACTTTTGCAGACGTTATAAAGATTTATCTCATATAGAAATCAGTTGATAATTAAAGCAATTTTGTATTTTTATTGTCCAGATTAATGAGTAGTTACTAAAGAGTGAGAGCAAAGTTTTGGGCAACAAATACAGTATAATTTTGATTCATTGAGACGGACGTTGAAAATAGGCATTTTCAGTGTCCTCTGCAGTGGAAAAGTTATTTGCGGCAAATTATAGCTGTTATTAATCTTAGCAAACATATCAAGAATGATGTATCGGATTTTTGAACGCAAATTATCGCAAAAACTACTTGTTTTTATCGGTTTCCTGTTTTCGTTGCCTCGAAATTACTTTTGTTTTTTGTCGTCATCGACGGCACAGGTCCTGCTTATAGGGCTTATAATGCGATCGTTTATTTCGGGCAACATTTTCAAAACCATTCACATATTGAAATTAATTCATTGTTATTTTTGGACTTGAATTCATTGC